GGTGCTTGAGAAGACTAAATATTTATCTGCAGATCCCTATAAAGCATATTCATTACTCGTTATTCTCTACTAATAGTTAATTAAAAACTGTATATAATGGCTATTTTGCACATCCCTGTCAAGATTTCAAGATTTTCTAAGGTTTATTGACATATCATATACACAACTACGGTGTAGTTATGCAATGAATGAAAAACTTGGGTCACAGGTTCATCAACAGTGCATTACAAGACATCTATCGATATCTGTGTACCTCCACCATTAAACATATTCTGCACATTTCTTATACTATCTACATACATCTTATAAGAATATAATTAATATGTATAATATCAGTTAAAATAAGTGCTTCAACATAGTTAACATTGCAGGAAAGTTGATTGTCAAGTTCCAAAACAAACCATGCAATATATTAGACGTTAAGTACTTTGTCACGCTTAATATCTGTAGATACCCCCAAAGCTTTTTTCTTATTTAAAAGAAGACCTTAACCTAAAGTATTCTTTAATGTTTAAATAAAGCCTTATTAGTTTGTCTGTTTTGCACATCCTCCTATCAGGCACTAAACTGTTTTATTGTAGAGATCACTTACAGTATCTTCTTGATATTTTCTATTCTATATTATTTATATCATTGACCTTCCACTGTCCCACTATATTAAGAGTATGTACTCTTAATATTTAAATGTTTTCATCAAATATAACACATTAAAAATTGCTTTGCAAAAATGAAAGACATTAAGAAAAAGGCATTTTAAAACAGTCATTAAAAAGCAACACAATCTACCTGCATTGCAATTACTCTAAACGTGTAATAACGTGCTTTAACCAGTAGGAGGTGCGGGTTAAAAAGATGTCAAATTTACAGTGTTAACAAAATAAAATATACTGCTGTTTCTGGTTTAGTTTACGACGGATATATTCTGTTATTGTTTTGATATTTGTAACACAAAAGCGATGTAAAAAACCCACAGCAACACAGAAAAGATGGTCTTAACATGACCCAGTAGTTAATAAAAAACAATAATATCAAAACAAATTATTACTACTAACTTTATTGTGAAATTAAAACAGAACGGTAAAAGAATAGTTTCCGGTCTATTCTGAGGCCCGATCTCTGTAGATAAATAAAGAACTACGACAGATGTGTAATGTTTAATGCAGCCAAACTATTCATTACAATGCATTCATGTGATGACTTTCAAAGAGTAAAGCAAGCACTGCTGAATAAAGTATGATTTTATCTTTTACGAAACGTTTTTTTCATATGGAATGCAGTTGGAGGTCAACCAATCACAGAGCTTGAGGCAAAGCGGAACAATAGCTGAGGATTCTGGGTAGTGTAGTGTCTTCGGCCATCCTAAACTCTGAACAAATATTTGTTTCTCCGAATCGAAGGGGAAAATTACAAAAGCATTGTACACAATTTAAACCAATCAATGTTGTGTAATTAACAAGGATAATCTGGTGTTTTTGAGTTGATGAGTAGTGCAGATATCACTGTAAAATCAAACGACAGTAAGGAGAATACTTACTTCCATGTGTAAAATCCTCCCTTATCCAATGGGAATGGACGCTCACATTGCTGTCTGCATCCGTAATACAATAAAGGGGACATGATCAAATAGGAATATAATTATCTTTTAAATAACGTTAACTAAAGGGAACAATCTATTTGACACAGCTGAAGTTCTGGCCTTCCTTAAAAACTAACTAATTTAATAAAAATCACAGTGTATTACACACAATGCACTGTTTTTTGAGAACAAACATTGGTAAATAATGCACCATAATACATTCTGACGAAAAATAAAAATTATTATGAATACAAATAAAATAAAAGAAGCCTCCCGTGAGTTACTACAAGCTATAAAGTAGATTTTACAAACGTTTTATAGAATAAAAGCTCACTGCTGGACGTTGTAGAAATGCGTGTGTGCACCACGACAAAGGAGCCTCATTCACTTTACATTGGGGTTGTTTGCGTGGTGCAGACACGTAAATGTAGCAAAGTTTGTGACTCCACCACGCAATGCGGTGTTAAGGAGTCGTGGTGGAGTCACGCATTCTGGTGAGACCAGGTTGCGTTTCATAGAGGGTGCTCAAACATTAAGGGTTTCCCATTAATGTACCGGGCGCTACAGTTGAATTTTCTACTGCAACAATCCCCACGCATATACACAGTGTACCCGCGACTGTTACAATGAAGGCTCGATAATCAGCTCACGGCATATACGTGTAAGCAGGGGTAAAGTGCTATTTTTATAAGTGAGGAGTGGACCTCACATAGGGGGGGTCCGGGGGGAAGATTTTTTTTTAAATATTGAAGTTAAATGCATCAATCTGGTGCACTTTGAGAGCAAAATGATGAGATCTATGGATACCTCTCTCAACACCCATATAAAACAGAGCTGTAAACAGATTTACTTTTTCTTTATGGATATTTTACAAATCACCCTTTTAAACGTTATTCTTGTTTTACTGTCATACAGTATTTCATACCTGTTTTTCATTTATTCTCTTATTTTTTTATAACTATATTGATCATATAAACATGTGCCTCGGAAATAATTGTTTACATTAATGGTGACCAAAACATTTGAGACCCACTGAGATAACACTGAGAGAGTCCTTTAGCTGACTGAGTCTCTCAGTCTGACAGGAGAGGACTCTCCTCCACTTTGTTGTTGAAAAAACTCCTTAGATCCGTTAGCGTAGCTCGCTAGCACCAGAAGCTAACAACAACGATCTCCGGTACCGGTGCGCTCTCTCTCTCTCTCTCGCTCGCGCACACAAAATGGCTCGTTCCACACACACACAGAGCCAAGCTTTAATGAAACACAGAGACCCAGACGTAATAGTACTGTACTGTATCATATTATTTTCGAATCAATCATTTTTTAAATTATGATTTCTTTTTCTTTTTTTCTTTTTTTTTAATAACCATTTTTCCTCCCGGTCTCTCGCGCCCCCCCTGGCATGCGTCTGCGCCCCCCAGGGGGGGCGCGTCCCCCACTTTGAGAACCACTGGGTTAGAGGCACATAACTGAAGGTGAGGATTTCTATTACTTCCCAATTCTTGTTATGCTATCATCATTTTGATTATAGTTATCCTTTTTGTGTAGTACAGTTATAGAGATAGTTACTGTTTGTATGTTAACATTATTTTTATTTCAAACCTTTAATGCTTTGTAGAGCTGCACTTAGAAAAAAGGGAAATATATATAAACCTATATTTTTCTAGCTCTGGGTGTTTATTCCGTTTGATTGAATCTCTTTATAACCTGTACAAAAACTGAATTTGCCAAAAAGCTGCTTCCTTGTAGTGAACAAGATTAAATGAAAGATATTGTGAAACATATAATTCTCTGGATAAATACAAAATAAGTCATTTCACCAGAGATTGCTGCTTCGTGATTCACTTAGATGTTCGGGTCTTGGTTTGAATATAGCCTGATCATAAGGGATAGAACAGGGCACATCATGTTATTTAGGGTCTTTTTCCCTGACTGCACTCAAAGAGAACAGCATTAATACTCGCCTTTATTCTTAAAAGAAAGGGGATAAGGTCAATAATGTATTTGACCTTCAATGTCTGTTGGACGCATGGGCGTAATTTCCACTGGGGACAGGGGGGACGTGTCCCCCCCACTTTTCAAAATCCTGTTTGTGTCCCCCCCACTTTTCAAAATCCCGTTTGTGTCCCCCCCACTTTTCAAATGTGTTTATTTATTTTTTACGCAAGCGGTCATCGTCACGGACGAGCGTCTGTGTGTGTGTGGCACGAGCGCATTTTGTGAGAGAGAGAGAGATAGAGAGAGAGAGAGATAGAGAGACAGTGACAGAGAGAGAGAGAGAGAGAGAGAGACAGAGAGAGTTACGGGGTTTGTTGTTAGCATCTGGTGCTAGCTCGGAGCTAATGGAGATTAGAAGCTGTTTCAACAATAAGGAGAGGGAGAGCTCTCTCCTGTCGGACTAAGAGGCGGAGATAACGTCAGCTCAGTGAGCTAAAGGACTCTCTGAGTGATTAGATTGTAAACTTTAGTCTAAGTTATCTCAGTGGGTCTAAAAGGGAATGGTCATACATGTAAACAAATATCTCCATATATTTAATATAGGCCTAGTTGTAAAAAATAAGTTAAGAAATCATCCCAATGTGTACTGTAGGTCAGTAAAAAAAATCAAAAACACAGTTTGAAAGGGGAGTGATTAGTAAAATATGCATTGCTAAAAAGAAAGAATGCAGACTAGGTAAGATACAGATAGAAGAGAGGAGTTTATCAAATATGTGTTATTGGTTGTGAGCATATTCTAATGGTTTTTTGATTATTGAAATAGCTATACAGTTCTGTTTCATGAGTGTTGAGAGCTGTATCCATAAATCTCTTAAATTAAATCGGGAAAATGTTTAATTGCGGAGGACCCCCTGTTTTGTGTCCCCCCCACTTCTCAAACCAAAGTTACACCCTTGGACGTAAGGTGCAGTAAACATTAAGAGACTTACAAAGTTTCACTGAAATTGTAGATAAACTAAATATTTCAAGTCTACTTTAAAACTACATAGACTTAAATGGTTTAAGATAACACTAATCTGTCCCTATGGCAGTAGTACGCTTATCAAGTATATACTGTAAACTCATAAACAAGTACTGTGAGTATTTATTGAGCGGGACAATTTAGCTTTTGATCAAGTGAAAGTAAAACTTTTTTTTACCGTTTTTAGTTATTTTACCTTTGTACTTTTTAAATTGAACAAACTGTATTTGTTGTATATTTTCTGCAGTAACAATTCAGCAGACTTTAAGATATTAATAAATTATAAAAAGTGTTCCTGCAGCACATTTGAGTCAGTATGAGAAGTTGCAAAACAAAGGGATTTACAATATTTTACATAATTATAATAATACTTATAATAATATGCTATACATGATGAATGTCGTGAAATATCTGATCTCAAATGTTGTATTGATAATGTTTTTACAACAATTGGTTGTTGAAGCCATGGGAATCTTCCAATCTAGTCCCCCCCCACCTCCCCCCCACCTTCTCCAAAAGGTAAGTAACTCAACATTTTTCTAAACATTGCCTAATAGATGAAATCAATCAAAATGGGACTAATGTTTTACTGCAAATGTTCACTTTACTTTTCAGTTCTGCCTCGGGAATGGAGGAACGGTCCATGGGGGTGAGTTCATTTTTCAGTGTGTGGTGTCTCTGGTGTTTAGTGGCTTTTATTCAAATAACACTTTTTAAAAGCACAACAATGAACCTACACACTCCTTTGTTGAGACTGACCTTTGTTATGCAATCTTTTCTGTTTTTTGTCACTTTTTATAATCATGTTGGTTTCTTCTCTTGGGTCTCAGTGACACCATTATGCAAAACTGATAATAATTTGATCTGAACTAAAGTCTAATGTTTTTCCATTGAACAGAAACAAAGTGAGAGATTTACAGTTTGTGAAGGATTACCAGCCTTTTAAAGAGGATGTCCAGCTCAGATTAATGCTTTGTGGACCTGCTGGTGCTGGCAAGTCCAGCTTCATCAACTCTGTCGACAGTGAGGCAAAATAACTCGTCGAGCTGCTGCAGATGCACTCTTCCACGGGAGCTTCACCACAAAAGTAAGAATCCCTGAAAGCATTTCATAAGACACAACAACAATTAAAAACCACAGAACTTATTTTGCTCTGGCTCAGTGGTTAGAGCTGGTGCCCCATGTACTGAGGCTCAGTCCCTGAGGTCGATGCAAGTTTGAATCTGGCTTGTGGTCTGTTAACACATGTCATCACTCTATCTCCCCCCTATCAAGACGTTTATTCTCAAATAAACTGGATAATCTGGCCCCCCCCAAAAAAATGTTTTGCGTTACTATATTCCGTTTTTTAATTGTAGTTTGATTTTTTTAAATGTGGTTTTAGATTTTAAGATTTTATTTTTTTATGTTGATTTGTGTTTTTTCTTTTAAATATTTTCTGTTTTGTGAAATTATGTTATGTTTTAAACGTTAGTACAGAGAGTACAAAATCCCAAAAGTACCAGGGACACATTACCCTTTTGTCTTCAATTACATCATGGGCCTCGAGAAGGATGCACGTACAGGAGTTCGTTTGGAAGACATCAAACTGGCCATGAAGGGACACGTGAAGGATGGTTACCAGGTACAACTTGGTACAACACAATCCCACATTGTGGTCATTTTCTACTATCAATATTATGGATGGGATGTACAGTATGAAATATGAAATATGGAAAACTAACGAGACTCCATAAGAAACTATTGTATTTGTGCATGCAAATTATTATTTTATTATTTTTTATTTAACATTGTTTTCCAGTTCAATCCTATCTCTGCCATCCTTGAGGATAACCAACACTACAACAGAGACCCCTCTCTAAATGACAATGTTCATGTTCTGGTTTGCGTCATCCCTGGCAACACAGCAGGATTTCATAATGATAATAACCCATCACAGTTACTGACTCAGGATTTCGAGACAAAGTTGAGGGAAGTCAGACTTGAAGCCAGGGACATAGGTAAGGGTTGGATAATAAATGAACAAATACAATTATATACATTGTATTTTAAAATTATATTTAATGTATCATAATTCTAATAAAATATAATAACACAGTAAAATAACCTGACCAACTTTATTTTAACTGAATCTGATTCTGCTCTGTATTGGCAGGGATTCCTGAAATTGCTATTCTCACCAAAATTGATGAAGCCTGTCCAGAGGTCCACAAGGATATACAGAACGTGTATAAGAGCAAGTACCTGAAGAAAAAGGTTTGTTTCTATTGGTAATTTAGTTTTAGACAACTGTAATTCAAGTTGGAATATAATTTTGTTTTACACTGTTATATTGTAACAGCAAAATCTCCTTGGATCAGCAGTTTCATTTCTTAAATGTCATATTCTTAAATGTAGATTGAGGAGTTGAGTGGCAGGATGGGATTTCCACAAAACTGCATCTTTCCTGTGAAGAACTACCACTCAGAGATCGAGACAAGTGATATCACAGATACACTGATACTGAGCGCACTGAGAGGGATGATTGAATCTGGAGAAGACTTTGTCAACGACCTGTAAAACTACATTCTGCTGAGGCAGATCTTGTTTTCAACAACAACATGTAAAAAGGTCCTGTTAACAATTATGATAATTACATGAAGTGGGCAAAATGGCTTTTAGTTGTTTTTTTGCAGCCTGTAATGCATCATATCTATACTATAAATGATGGTGTCTCTACCTTAATGAGTAAAGTATGAAAAGGCTTTATTTTTCCTATATTTGATGTTTTCTTTGCATTATGATATTGTTAGTTATATGCTTTTTTTATGCAGGTGGTAATTTATATTGCCGTCTCCAGGTAATCGAGAATCTGAATATTCGTAGGTCGAAGATGATTTGGTTGAAACGTGTTCAGAATAATGATAACATATGCTGTACCTGTCATTGATTAAAAAGTGTTTTGTATATAATGATACTTTTTTTAATATAACCAGATCATATTCATCAAATATTGATAACATCAATATTTTTAAATGATATAATAAACATAATTGTTTCAATCAAGACAACAGATCAGAGCAGTTCTGTGATTTGCAGCTCATTCAGATCAAAGCAGCTTCACTTGTCTCTAAGAAAACCCTCGTCAGGTTTTACAACATGCATGTGATTACACTCTCAAAAACAATACATGGTGTTTCTTATTTTTGCTTGCATTAAATGGTTCAACAATGATGTACATATATTGTTTAACATATTTTGTGAATCCATATTTTGTTGTGACATTGGGAAGGTGCAAAGTCATGATAATTAGTGCCTGTTTTATACAGTGTGCCTATTCTAGGATGATTACATTTTAATGCTTTGATTTCTGTAAAGATGAAGATGAATCTACAATCATTTGATTCTCACCAATAATATTTTGAGCAATAAATGCATTCACACATTCAATTGTGACTTAGTGTGTACTGTAGTCGTTTGGTGTAAATCCTCATTGCTGAAAAAGTAAGGTTGAAACATATGTATTCAAACTTAATATGAATGTAAAGGCTAGTCAAGGCAGCACATTTATTTGGGTTGTTGACACACAGCAAATAATTTTTGGGTGGTCTCTGCTGTTTTGCTTCTAACGCTATGGCCTAAAATGAATAATTGTACCGTATGGTTTAACAACAGCAGACTTGACATTTCACTCAGTAACAATGCCTCTACTTAAATGTCTTTAGAAATGTCCCTCTAATCACAAATGCTACAAACTCACTCAGATTCATTCCAATTTCATACATTTTCTTTAAGTAGATTTAGAATAAGCAATTTGGAGAAAAATATTATATAACAACTTGTTTTTGTTCAGAAAATGACATCACCTTACTGTAATGCAGCCACAATAACACTGATGCCATATCACACTTTTGGGATATGAGATTACATTTAATTTAATTTAGCTGATGCTTTTATCCAAAGCTTTTATCGTGTCATTTCACATTTAACAGCAGTATCTTTACTGAATGCACCAGCTCAGCTTCAACACAACTCCCCTGCCAATACCATGATATACTGTGGCAATAAAATATCTTGAGTCATAGCTCCACTCACACTTTTACTAATAAAATAAACTTCATTGACAAGATACATTCCATGAATGATGTTTAGTCTGTAATATTACTTAAATAACTTTTCAAACAGTTACTTATCTTAATAAAAAACATTCTAATTTAATTTTGATTTATTGCTACATATAAATTATTTGTATTTTTTCCATACTGCTGCTGCCTCTCGAGGTTAAGAGTAGTACTACAGCACATAACACAGAATGACTGAGTGCAATGCAGGAAAATAGAACCGGGGCTGTTGAGAAAACATCTGTAGCTGCAGCCCTGCAAGCCCGCCCCTCCCTTCTCCCCTGATTCTTTTAAATTACGTGATCTAAAGGAAACTGTAGATACCACCAAACCAGAATCAAACAGCTATACTGGACACACTTCACATTCAGAATAGATAGAATAGAATAGGGAGGGATGAAACCCTCTTTAATGGTCACACATGCAGAGCACACAGCACACACAGTGAAATTTGGCCTCTGCTTTTAACCCATCCTAGTACAAGGAGTCTAGTACTAGGAGCAGTGGGCAGCTATTGTACAGCGCCCGGGGAGCAATGGGAGTGGGGGGGGAAGGGGGGTGTCCGGTGCCTTGCTCAAGGGCACCACGGCAGGGCAGGAGGTGAACTGGGACCTCTCCAAGTAGAAGTCCACACTCCATATTTAGGTCTGGTCGGGGACTTGAACCAGCGACCCTACGGCTCACAGTCCAAGCCCCTACTGACTGAGCCACTGCCGGACCATGTTCAAACCATGTTTTTGTATTTCAATAGTATTTTGAGGTAAACTCATGAGAAAGTGTGTTTCAGTTATAAAGTCACATTCAGATTCAATTAAACAATGGGTGTAGAGGTCTGCTGTTGGATCTGACACAGACTAAATGCATTCAGTCATTCAGTTGTGACTATTGTCCTTTGTGAATGACTAAAGAGAAATCAACTTTACTTTATGAGGTCAGTAAACATTAAGTTGTACATCTATAAAGGCAATTCCTTTAAGCCACATGGTGTGCTATAACCAACCCGGTATCACGGCAAGACGTGAACATGTGACGATCTACCATGCTGGGAGACGTGAATATGTCACGGTTTCGTCCCTTCAAACGTGACAGTTACACGGTATTGTTAACATGGCCCAACCAGTGGAGAAATACCCGGAAGTGCCAAGCAAATGGTCTACCGCGCCTATTGGTCGGTTTTTATTGTCAAAATTAGATGTTTTTAATTTATTTTGTAATCGTCACACTCGATTTCGCCGATTTTCTTGTTGCCCTAGCTGGTCGACACCTCTTTTAGCAGAAACAAAGGCTACATTAATGTATTAAATCGATGTTAATCCATGTGTGTGGATCATAGACTGGTGTGGATGTGGAATTAACGGACCTGACGTTGTGCGATTGCGTTGCCAGGCAATTGCCAACGCAATTTACAAACTCTTCAACTACAACCCTAATTATATTTAAAAACATTTTAGAAGGCCTCACGAAATACTTTAATGTAAATTAAAATGTAAATGTGAAGGGATGTGTGTAATGTATGTGGTGATTGACATTATTCACCCACGGATCTATGGGTTGGGGGTATTGTTCCGCACGGACATTTTAGTTAAACGGACTTACTGTTGATGTAAAATCCGAAAGAACATTTAAAAATAAAATAATACTTTATTCCGAGTGTGCTTGCTTTTCTCTTTGGAGGTCATCACATAACGGCATTGTAATACACGGTTCGGCTGCATTAAATATTACATATCTGCCGTAGTTCTGTATGTATAGAGCCCTGATGAGAAGACTTCTGGACAAACAGGAAGCACTGCCGCCAAAACTGAAAACGTGACGTGGATCATAAATATATCAGCAATTAAACAACATCTTACATTTCTTTTCACACAATACGTCTCCTTGCAGTATCAAAACTAATTTGGTTGACTTTTATATTTGATCCAATTGGTAGATAGGCTGTATTTACACCATAACGGTGCACAGCTGATAGAAAGGCACATCTAGTGGTTAAAGCACGTTATCGAATTTTTTTATTTGATTATTTTTCACAAAAATGAAACCATCAATAGCAGAAACAGAATTAACTGTCATTAGTAAACCATCCAAAAAAAAGATCATAAGTGCTTTTGTTTTATATATATTTTAAGGATAATAATAGCAATGTAACACTGTCTATGACACTTAGCCTACTGTATAACACTGATTTGAAAAACATACAGAAAAAACTAATTCACTGCCCTTAATAAAGTATTTAAATATACATTTCAGGTGTGCTGTTTTGTTTAGATCGGCTCTGGTTTAGATCATTGACATCTGGAGCTCTTTTAATGTCCTTTTTGATTATTGTTACACCAGGTCTTGTCAAAACCTTTATTCCATATTCAATATCCATTACTAAACAAAACAGCAATTCTACTCCACTACAATTCAGAGGTTAACCTGGTATTTTTACTCCACTACATTTATTTTAGTTACTTTGCAGATTCTGATTAATGATGTGAAATATAAACAACCCTTAAATCAGGCTTTAGTTACACCTGAGTAAAATTCAGGGAAAGGTGATTGTCAAGTGCCAACAATCAGGAGAGATATTTGATAGTTGCTGCTTGAGAAGACTAAACATTTATCTGCAGATCCCTATAAAGTATATTCATTTCATTTCATTTCATTTCACACCTTTATTTATCCAGGTTGTATCCCATTGAGATCATTGATCTCTTTTTCAAGGGAGACCTGCTCAAGTAGGTTCCACATGAAACATTAAAAACATAAACAGAACAACAAAAGGACATCATACAGTAGCATTACAGGGATTACAATTTACATACTATCCACATGCACAGGTACCAACAGCTTCCGACTGAGTAGCATCCAACCGAGCTTTAAAAACATTTAGTGGCACCAGATTGCTCAGTTTCCATTTTAATTGCAGACTATTCCAGGACAGTGGAGCTGCGCATCTAAATGCTATTTTCCCTAAGACAGTCCTAGCAGTTGGCACATTTAATAAAACCACAGCATGCGATCTCAGGCAGTAGCCACTTACAATTCGCCGTGAGATCAGGGAGCAGATGTAGGATGGAAGTTTCCCTAACATGGCTTTATATATAAAAATGTACCAGTGACTGAGCCTCCGTACAGTTAGTGAAGGCAGACCAGCCCTTGCATACAGGGTACAGTGATGAGTTAATGCTTTACAGTTTGTCACAAATCTCAGTGCACTGTGATACGCAGCATCTAACTTGACCAGGCAATTGGCAGGTGCATTCATATAAATCAGATCACCATAGTCCAGCACAGGTAAAAAGGTCACAGTGACTAGCCTTTTTCTGGCCTCGAGCGAGAAACAGGACTTGTTCCTGTAGAAGAAACCTAGTCTAACCCTCAGTTTTTTAAGCAGGTTATTGACATGACGTTTAAAAGTGAGACAATCATCAAGCCAGATACCAAGGTATTTGTAACAGGCAACCACTTCAAGTTTTATTCCTTGCGTAGTTAAAATATCTAAAACAGGCTCTGGTGTCTTTTTGGCTTTTGAAAAGAGCATTACCTTGGTTTTATCAACATTTAAAAGAAGCTTTAGTTCAGAGAGCTGAGTCTGAATAATGTTAAAAGCAGCTTGCAATTCAACAACAGCCTCCTTAATGGAGGGACATGCACAGTACATAACGGTATCGTCCGCATAAAAATGTAAGGTTGCTCCATTGACATTTTCACCTAAATTATTGATGTAGATGGAGAATAAAAGTGGACCTAAAACAGAACCTTGAGGAACACCATTAGTAATGTTTAACCACTCAGAAGACAGCCCATCAAAGTGGACACATTGGGACCTTTCAGAGAGGTAGTTCACAAACCACCCCACTGCATGACTGGATATGCCAATACTGAGTAGCCTCTGCTTTAAGATGCGATGATCGACGGTATCAAACGCTTTGGAAAGGTCAATAAATAGAGCTGCACAGCTCTGCTTATTATCTAAAATACTCGCCACATCATTCACCACTTTCATTGTGGCAGTGATGGTGCTATGTTGCTTTCTGAAGCCTGACTGATGTTTAGACAGGATGTTATTTGTACATAAAAACACCTTTACCTGCTCACTCACTAGGCGTTCAAGAACCTTAGCCAGAACTGATA